CTGTTGCCGGTCCCGGTCCGGTACGGGGGCGACACTGAGGGTTGCGATCCGTTGCCGGAAAAGACAAAAAAAAAAAAACAAAAAAAACATATATCTGACAAAGAATTTGTATTCAGAATATACTCATATATATGTAAACTCCTACAACTCAAGAATTAAGACAAATAAGTCACAATAAAACAAATAGGCAAAAGCCTTGAACAAACTTCGCAAAAGAAGATACATTAATGGTCAAAAAGCAAAAAAAAAAAAAAGGTGCTTAACCTCATTTGTTATCAGGAAAATGCAAATTAAAACCACATGGAGATATCACTTCATATTCACCAGAATGGCTAAAATTAAAAAGACTAAAATACCAACTGTTGGCAAACACAGAGACTAACCCAACTCTCTTACATTTCTAGTAGGAGTGCAAAATGGTGCGACTCCTTTAGAAAACAGTTTGGCAGTTTCTTATAAAGTTAAACATACACTTACCCTATGACCTAGAAATTCCACTCCTTGGAATTTACTCAAGAGAAATGAAAACATATGTCCACAAAATGAACTCTACAAGAATGTTCAAAGAACAACATAGTATCTATCAACAGTTAAATGGATAAACAAATCGTGGTCATACATGCAATAGATTCCTATTCAGCAATAAAAAAAAGAAATGCATTTCTATTCAGCTATTCAAAATAAAAAGCAATAAAAATCCATGCAACAACATGGATTTTTAAAAAAGGACATGCTCCGCAAAATAAATCAGCCACAAAATGGTATGTACGATATGAATGCATTTATATGAATTTCAGAACAGACAAAACTAATCTATAGTGGCAGAAATCAGAATACTGATGAGCAGGTTATGATAAATTGGAGGAGTCTGAGAAAGCGAAAGATGGAAGTTTCTAGGGTATTTAAAATTTATCATATCTTTGTTAGGGGTGTGAGTTAAATAAATGTATACATCCGTCCAAAATCTTTTACCTATATAATTAAGATCTGTTTGTTGTATTGTATGTAAATTGTTATCAATTTAAAATGATAACAAAGACAGACTGGGAACAGATTCTGCCAGAATAAAGAAGTACTCAAAGAATGACCAAGACATATGCAAAGGGCACAGAAGCCAACTTGAAGGGACTTTATCTGCTCAAATTTGGGGAAATTTGTGCATCAAAAAGAATAATGACTGTATGGCGATACACTGCATGAGTACATAAGAATATGCATTAAAAAAATGTTTGCCTCTTTTCCATTTTTGAATTTTTTCAACTCAATTTTTATTAAGGAAAAACTTACCTTAATAAAAATGTTTAAAACATTCCCTGAGAAAATGTACCCTCAACATAGACCTCAGCAAATTCCAGCAGATACACTTCCACAATCGAAAACTTCAAAACACATGATAAAACAAGGTATCATCATCAAAAGTGAGGAGAAGGGCCGGCCCGTGGCTCACTCGGTAGAGTGCGGTGCTGATAACACCAAGGCCACGGGTTCGGATCCTATATAGGGATGGCCGGTTTGCTCACTGGCTGAGCGTGGTGCTGACAACACCAAGCCAAGGGTTAAGATCCCCTTACCGGTCATCTTTTAAAAAAAAAAAAGTGAGGAGAAACAATACACAATAGAAGCAGCATTTCAGACATCATATATTGAGATTATTAGACACAGCATACAGAATAGGTAGGTATGTTTAACACACTTACAAAACAGGCTGGCCAGTTAGCTTAGTTGGTTTAGAGTGCTGCCTTACAACAACAAGGTCAGGGGTTCGGATCCCTTTTCCAGCCAACCACCAAATTAATTAATTAATTAAAAAACAGAAATAAAAACAGACATCCAAAACACGAGACTAGAAAGATTTCTTGGACAGGACAGAAAATGCAATAACAGTGAACGCACAAAAAAGATAAAATGGACTCATCATTTTCTGGAGGAAAAGGAGGCATCTCTTCTAGAGATGGGGAGACCTTTCCATAAAGCACTTAGCAAATCTCCTTGTGTCCCATTGGCCAGATCACCTCACACATTCATTCCTGAACCAATCCCTGTGGCTGGGGGGCGTGCTGTGATTTGATTGACTGACTTGCCTGAGTCTCTGAACAAATACTGTGGCAAGGCGAGAGGAACGCGGGCCCACCAGCAGATGTGGAGGGAAATTCAGGTTTCCCTGAAGCACACGAGGCTGTGTGAGGGAAGGTTGGACGCTGAACACAGCGAGGAGGAGGAAAGAAGCAATGCTGTGAAACCACCGAAAGTGTCTCCAGCACCAACTTCCTCATTCTGATGTAGTTATCTAAGAAAAGGCATGTGGGAGGTAAATTTTCTGAATTCTGAAATGTCTAAAATATCTTTATTCTATCCTCATACTTAACTGATATTTGCCTGGGAACAGATTTCCAAGTTGGAAATAATTTTCACTCAGCATTGTGTGAAAATTTAGCAGCCAAAGGGGCTACCAAATTCTGATGCCATTCTGATTCCCGTTTTGGTGTGTGTGATCTGTTTTTTACTTTTGGGAGCTCTCAGGAAGAGGGCTGCCATGTTGCACAGATCCTTCACACCCATCCCACTACAGCCTCCGGGAGCGGCTCTGGACTGCACATTTCCAGGGGGCACCATTTACATACACAGTGAATGGTGCCCCTAAAGTTGTGCAGTGCAGCAGCCCAGCCTAGGATATTCTGTTATGTCTGCTGTAGGCTTTTTGTCACTGGCTACTCTGGGCACTCACTAGTTCCCTTCTTCTCCTCGCTGTGTTCAGTATCCAACCTTCCCTCACACAGCCTCGTGTGCTTCAGGGAAACCTGAATTCACCTCCGCATCTGCTGGTGGGCCTGAGTTCTTTCCTTGCCACAGTATTTGTTCAGAGACTCAGGCAAGTCAGTCAATCAAATTACAGCACGCCCCCCAGCCACAGGGATTGGTTCAGGAATGAATGTGCGAGGTGATCTGGCCAATGGGATACAAGGAGATGTGCTAGGTGCTTTAAGGAAAAGAAGTCTTCCCATTTCAAGAAAGTGAGCAGAAGAGATGCTCCCTCTTCCTCCAGATTAGTGGAATGCCAACTGAAGTCTCTAGCTGCCTCAGACATTTGACCACTATGAGAGAAGTGGCCCTAAGGATAAACCCAAACCCAAGGGATACCCAGCCAAGCTAACCACAGAGCCTGAGCCACTAGATCAATCCCAGCCTGAAGCCAGTCCTACCTCTGGGCTCCCAGTTGACTAAGCCAAGAAATATTCTTAGAGTTGAAGCCTCCTCAGCAGCTTCCCTGTTATCTGCAGCTGAAAGCTTCCAGGAAATCATGGATTTGATCCAGACACAGAATGAGAACCACACAGGACCCTGGGGGCAAGTGGCGCCAGACTGACAGGGGCCAGCGGCCCCCAGTAGGAACTCAGTAGAATGCCCAATATAATGGAACATTTGAGGGAAAAAAAAACCCGAAGATATGATAAAGCAAGGAGATACAAGGGAAAACAAAAAACAAAAAACAAAAAAATAGATCTCCAGTAAAAGTAAAAAAGACTATAGAAAAAAGGGGATGTAATCACAGTACAATTCTTGGCTCTCTGGTGAATAATACTTATATAGTCAAAGTAATATATTAAACTGGGTTTGCTGATAACCAAAACTTGTGATATGAATACATTGAGGAGACGGAAGGAGAGAAGGGGTAATGGATGGTATAAGAACCTATTCCTCATTATTACAGCAAAAATAAGTAGATCATGTCTAAGACTGAAACATCATGAAACAGTAGTATATGCTTATTAGAGATATGAAAGTATCTGCTAAAAGAAATTGCTAAATAATACTAACCGGCCGCCTCTGGGGAGTGGAACCAGGAAAGATACATGGTTTTTGCTAGTGCAAAAATAGCTTCTCCGGACTATTTGACTTAACACTGTGCATGTATTATACTTTAGTAAAATAAAATATTAAAATGTTTAGTGCAAAAAAATAAAAGATGTCTGCTTAGATGTCTGAAGAACCCTGAGAAAATCAAGAGTGCAGATTTATTAGGGTGGTTGGATTATAGTTACTTTTTTTTTATAACTTTGTCTAGGTTAAATTATAACATTTATAGTTTATACTGTGTGTAAAATTGGGACAAAAAATAAACTGCAGGAAAAAGAAACATGACCTCTACTTCCATACAGGCAGAAGGCCCCTCACTGACCTCATACCCCGGTCAGTGCCACCGGTACCCTGTCTAGAGTGGAGGTTCCAAAGCCAAGGACAGAGGGACAGCCCTTCCCCACAGCCAGCAGAAGGCTCCTCAGTGGCTCCATGCCTCCCTCCCCAGGCCCAAGCAGATCTTCCGAGGGACCTGGGCCACTCAAAGAGGCCAGGCCCAGATAGAAATAAGTCATAACCCATCTGCCCAGGAAGACTGACCAGCCTCCTCCACACCCCAGCCTAGGCCACAGCTGGGTGGCCCATCTGCCTGGGACTTGAGGACAAGGGCAAGGGGTAAGGGGTTACCTACCGCAGGAGTCACAGGTGAAGCAGTCAGTGTGATACAGGCTCCCCATTGCTTGGCATGCCTGCCTTGCTCCGTAGATGCCAAGCCCACACTTGATGCAAATGCCTAGGGAGGAGAGGCAGGCGAGAGAAGTGGTTGGCGCCACGGATTGCACAGTCAGGTGGACATGCATCTGACTCCCCATCCTGGCGTTGCCCACCTGCTGGACCTTGGGTGAGTTCACTTCCCTAAGCCAACAGCACTCGGTTACTAATGACTAACACTGGCACCCACTACTTAGGGTTTGCTGACTTTGTTGATGGAGGATTCAAAGAGCTTAGCACTTGCTACAGTCACAGCTAACTGAAGCCATCCATCATAACTATTATCACATATTTACACTCAGAAGTTGTTCTAAGCCCCTTTACCTATGATCTGTTCTTTGAGGGAAAATTTGCTGTCTATGAACCAAATCCTATTCTTCAAAATAAAAATACATATCTTCTGACCCCGACACAAAAACTGAAGCGCACACAAGCACACCCCAGGGCAGCAGCAACCCTCCCCAGCCACTCTTTCCTCATCTGTACCACAAGGCACAAGGGTCATTCGTTCTCTCCTTCAGTCAGCACACAGACACTGACGGCCTTGCCACATGCCCTGCAGTTTGGGTGCTGGAGATTCTGCACCCAAGTCCCCACCCTCAAAGAGCCTGCATTCCAATGGAGGGAGACACTGTCCCCAGGGGGGAGAAGGGCATGTTCAGAGGAGTGCAAAGAGGCCTAGTGGAGACCCAGATAAATGGAGAGGCAGCTACAGAGGTTGTGGCCACGCCTTAGCTCACCAACAGCTACTCTGTGGAAAGGCAGCCCCAGCAGCATTAACAGAGATTCTAATTTTTCAAGAAAAGCTAGAAATCTAGATCTGTACGTGCAATCCTTCCATAACCGAAATTACTTACTAACCTAAGTGCTTTGAAAACATGGAGGCCAAACCAACCATACCTGTAGGTCCCCACGTGGGACCCTGACTTTACCCAGTCTCCCTGTGCAGTCCCATCCTCTCCCAGCAGCTCACCCCTGCCAAGTGCGCCTCATGCTCTGCTCCAACCCTGACACCATCCTGAGTCGCTGATCCACCTCCCAGATGGTCCTCAGACACACCATGTCCAGAACAGGGCTCCAGATTCCCCACAAAACTGCTCTGGCCTCTGGTTTTCCCCTGAGGAAATGGTGCTTTTGTGTACCCAAGATCAGGAAGCATCCAGATCTACCCTCTCCTCATCACCAACTCTGAATCTGTTTCTCTGCCCCCCCCCCTTTTTTTTTTTTTAAGGTAAGGCAAGTGAAGCAATGGGAGTGGAGAAGGAACAAAGAAATCTGTAACTGGTTACCTCACTGCGACCCACCCTCTGCCCCCTAATCGTGACTTCATTCCTTTACCCTCACTCCCACCGGCCTGATTCAGAAGGTCCATTCTCATGCAAACAGCTCCTCCCTGAGTCCCAGCCTGGCCCCCAATAATCCATCCCCCAAACAGTAGCCAGGCTTATCTTTCTAAAGTGAAAGTGATGTACCCTCACTTCCAAGAGTAATGGATCTTCTCTCTCTTCCATCAGCTTTGAATATCTGGCCCTGTCATTTTCCTGATTAAGTTACTAGAATAAACAGTGAGAAGAATATACTCTTGGCTGCCTCTGGGAAGCAGCATAGGAGAACGGGCAAAAAGGAAGGCTATTACCTTGTGTTAGTAGTTTGGGGTTTTGCTTGATTTTTCTCTAAATATGTACTTGCATCAGTTCAATAAAAATACACTGAAGGAGAACCAGGAGCTTGAGGTGTCTCAGAAATTAAGGGAGCAGGACATTTTGAGGACAGCCAGCTCCACACTGTGGGATACAGCTGTGAGATCCAGGCACACAAGGGCTGGAAAATGCCCACTGGGGCTGGGGCGTCACCAGTGTTCTGCGTCAAGAGCTTGGTCAGTCAAGTGAGAGGAGACAGAGCAGATGGCTGAGGGGAAAAGAGAAGTTCTGAATAAGCAAAGACAACCTCAGCAAGACACTGGGATGAGAAGAAGGAGAGATGAGGGGACTTTGTGATCACTAGGTTTGGGAGTTTTGTTTTTGCTTTTTGTGTCTTGTTTTGCTCGCATCTGGCTGGTATGGGGATCTGAACCTTTGACCTGTTGTTATAACACCATGTCTAACAAAACAGAGCTAACCAGCCAGCCCTGCCCTTTCTTTTTTTCCCCTTAATTAAAGACCCTTGTACATATTTATGACCAAAGGAAAAAGGGCAATGGTAAGAAGAAAGCCAAAGATGGAGGAGGTGGAGGTTGGAGATGAAGGACCCTTACCCTCTTAGCAGGAGAGTGAGGCTGGACGTGGACCAGCAGGTGAAGAACAGGAAGCTGATGGAGACAGACTGCAACTGCTGACGAGCAAAGCAGAAAGCGAAGGCATGGGCAGAGGAGAGAGGAAGGTTGTGGAGGGAATAAAAAGAGGGAACTGACCAAGGCTTAGGGTGACAGATGGTGCCAAGACCACCGAGGTGAAGATCATAAATCTGCCATGGTCCCAGCGGCTTCCTCAGAGCTCCCCATGGCCTGCTATAGCAGCAGAAAGGGGGTCTGCAGCCCCAACTCAGAGGCAGGGCTCTGCTGGGCAGACAGTGATCTGAGGAATCAGAGGGACTGGGGAGAAGCAGGCTGGAGTCAGAACTGAAGACTGCTGAAGAGCAGGGAGTGGCCCTGGGAGTGGGTGGCTGAAGAGAAGGCAGGAAGGTCACCAAAGCTAGAGGTTCCGGAAGCCCGAGGCTGTTGGCTGGCTAGTGGCAGTGCAACTTGGGGAGGAGAGAGGGGAAAGTTCCAAAGACATCAGTGAATAGCAGAAAGAGATCAAGAGGTCAGCTGGTACTAGAGCCAGAGAGAGGAAGGGATGAGGGATTGTGAAAAGAGAAAAAACACACTCTGAGGATATTTTACCAGAGAGAGATCACTTGAGCTCTTGCTACCTGCAGACTCCCTTTTGTAAAATTCTGTATTTTTCAGGTTGAATTATATGAAATTGCCACATTCATAGCTCAAAAAAGTCAAACATCAGCAGAACCATACAGTTCAAGCAAATAAGTTCCCCTTATTTTTAAAAAATGGGGAAAATGTTACCTAAATCTTGATTTCAGCTTCTCTTGAAAAAAATAAAGACCTATCATGATTCCCCTCACAGTGCCATGTGGCTACAACAGGCCAGAGCTGAGCAGGAGCTGTTCTTTAAGAAGGACTGCACTCCACCCCCCACCCCACCCCCCGGTCTTTTACTATCAGCCTCTCACTTCCCATATTACCTGCCTGGGACTGTGGCCACCCAGCTTCACATAAAGATTCAGGAGTGGCTAAGGAGGCCAACAGAATGCAACCCTAACCTTTCAGGCTCTGTAGGGCACAGGGGCCAGAAAATGGACAGTCTCCCCTGAAGTAAGCACTGGAAAGTGTCCCCTTCAGAAGACAGCCCCAGGTGTTCCTAACTCACCTCCCTTCTCCCCAGCCATCTGACAGCAGCCACAAGACCTGCCTAACCACAAATTTTAACCCTGACCTCCCAGCTGTGAGCGGTTCCCCATCCCAAAGGCAGGCCAGCCCTTTAGCCCACACATGCCCTTGACCACCACCTGACTCTCCCTGGCTGCAACTCCTGGGAGCAGAGTGGAACAATCTCACAGACTCACTTGCCTCCTTGTGCTCACATTCTTCCCTCTGCCTGGAATGCCCCCATCTGCCTGTCACACACAGCCTCCTCATCTCTCAAGATCCAGTTAGGGCAGTCTTGAGCTGCTAGCCGGACTGAACGCACAGAAGATGCAAACCCCAGAATAGCCTCAGTCCCAGACATGATAACCACCCACCCCGCTTGCAAACTTTATCAGGAAAGGAGAGAGAGAGAGGCTCTCTCCCCAGGCCCCACAGTATTTCTGCCTCCTCCTCCCACAATCTCACTCTAAGAGTTGTCCAAAGGACTAGGGATCAGGGGGTCAGGGCCGGGCTGGGAAACGGAGGCTGTCAGAGATTGGTGGGCTTTGCAAATGCAAGAGAAGCAGGACTGCTGCAGGAAACAGCCCCTATACATACACAGCACAACCCAGAGGAGGGCAGCCCAGTGTGACTGGCTTGGTCCCTCTCTCCCCCGGGGCGGGCTTTTCCTCCCTCACGTACTCTTTACCTCCAGCCACTACCACCATCAAAGCCTCGGTCAGGTGGGGTCCAGTGGCACCTGGGCCACTTCACCGCCCCGTTCCTGTCCACACCCCCTACTGCTGGAGGGGAGGGAGCACGGACGGCGGGAATCCCTTGTGCCCATCACGAAGCCTCGGGTAGGATGAGCAGAAGCAAGCGCCAAGAATCAAAAGAAAAGTATCAGACGAGGGCTTAATCTGCCTATTCACCTTGTTTCTCTAAGTTAGAAACGGCATCCACGCACTTTGCCAGAACCCCTTCTGTGGCGAGAGACCTAGAGGCGCTGCCGCTGAGGGAAACAGACCCCAGAGCCGGCGGTTCGCGCTCACCCACACGTCCTCCGCCACCGCATCGTCGCCGGCTCCCCCAGCCCCCGGGGGCCTCCCTCATCAGCCTGGCCCCCTCACCGAAGTAGTCCCGCGCCGTGCGCGCCTCCAGCGCCCGCTCCAGCTCTCGAGTGAGCGCCTCCAGCCGCCGCTC